CAACAGCTGTCTTTTCAAAGTATTTAAATGAATCTGAACAGGTGCAGTACTTCACAGTGCTGCATATAACTGCAAACAGCATCCCTGTTGTACTGCTCAAAGGTTCAGATTTCTCAGAAGAATTATGGTATTTGTTAACACTAAAATCATTTTTGTTCTTTGTTAAACTAAAGTTATACTAAAGTTCACATCTGCACAGCAATGGCTGAGAAGAAAAGTTAGGTATCGTTTGTCTCTTTAGGTCAGATAGAAGCACTGAAAAACACTTTTTGTGCCATTACCCAGAATACATATGGAATAGCTGTGATCTTCAACATAGAGTGAATGTTAGTACCAGAACTTTCAACTCTAGTTGAGCTATAGTTTTGAAACTGGCTCTTAATTTTAGCTACCCAATACATGGCTAGGCACCTGACATTCAGGATAGGAAGAGCTGACTGAAAATCAGATTGTTTTTACATATATTGTACAAATTATGATTTTTGAATTGGTGTTATGAGTTAACATAATCAATGAATGGCTTTGTATATGTGGAGTTTGCCATGCACAGCTAGGCATAGCTAAATGGCCAAGTTATGTTTCTTCAAGTCAGCCCTGTTAAACTCCCATGGTTTTCAGTCAGCTGTTTTTCTTGCCTCTCTGCATGAGGCTTTGCAGACTGAGATAATCTCTCAGAGGGAAAAAGAAACAAACTGGAAATGCCTTTCTAGTGTAAGATGTGGTAAAAGTGAAAAGAGAGCACGATTGAAAAGGAATGGCAAAAACTGACACATTACAGAATGGAAAAAAAAGGTGTATTTTTATGGTTGGAGGGGAAATTTAGCTGCAAGGCCATCTGAGGACGAAGGAGCTGTGTGCATAAAACTGTGGAGAAGAGACCATGCACAAAACAAAGAAACCTGGACTACTAAGACAGGTTTGATTTCAGTATAAAAGACCATCAAGGCTGACGAAGAAATTGAGGCAGTGCACTGAAAGCAAATTTTTTGTTTTTTTATGTTCCTTATATTACGAATGGCAGTGACTGGATTTTCTTACAGTCTCTGCATGCATTTGTGTCAAGTATTATGTTCCTCCAAACACAAGTACTGTAAAAACTTAGCCTGCCAGCAGATCTGCATGTTTGAGAAAAACAAACAAACGAACATACTTAAATAACAGAGTGGCCCTCAGGATCAACAGAGGTCCTAGAGATTCTGAAAGATGGGATTTCAGGTACGCTTTTCAAGAAATGTTCATGCTTGTAAAGTGAGCCAGAGCATTCAAGGAATTCTCTGTAGGAACATCAAGGAGGGACAGACCCAAACTTCAACTGTAGGATGTGCATTCAACTGTATAACCTATCAGAAGTTATACTGGAGTACTCAAATATGAGTAACCAGGGCAAGAACTGTCAGATTTTATGCAGGGATTCCCTTTTAAAGTTGCCTTTTGCATTTAATTACTGATTTGTAGTTCTCTAAGTCATGAGTTATTCAGACATTTTTCAATTGAATGTCACTAGAATCCCCTTGAAATTCTGATTCTAAAATGCATAGAAATTCTGAAGGAAACACCTGGCAAATGCTCTGCTTTTTGTTGACTGTGAAGCTGAGCAATACAATTCACACAAGCAGAGGTCCATTAGGTACCCAGGTTTCTTTAGAGGCTCACTGCAGGTTTGAGTGTAATTTAATAGCAGGTTCATTGTGTCCATTATACAAGTACTTTTCTTTGTGTGTATTTGTTTACATGATTAATATGGAATTAATCACTTAAAGTTAATTTGTGAAACTTAAAATATTAAAATCAGCTAATTGCTGTAAGCATTTTTTTTTCAATGTCATCAGTTCTCAAGTTGTCTCTCTGGTGGACAGCAGGTTGACCATGAGCCAGCAGTGTGCCCTTGTGGCCAGGAAGGCCAATGGTATCCTGGGATGCATTAAGAATAATGCGGCCAGCAGATCAAGGGAGGTGATCCTCCCCTTCTACTCTGCCCTGGTGAGGCTACATCTGGAATACTGTGTCCAGTTTTGAGCTCACGAGTTCAAAGACAGGGATCTCCTAGAATAAGTCTAGCAGAGGGCAACAAAGATGGTTAGGAGCCTGGAGCATCTCTCATATGGGAAAAAGCTGAGAGACCTGTGACTGCTTAGCCTGGAGTAGAGAAGGCTGAGGGAGGGCTTGTCGCTATTTATAAATGTTTTAAGTGTGGGAGTCAAACTGATGGGGGGCAGACTCTTTTCGGTGGTGAGCAATAGTAGAACAAGGGGTTATGTGCAGAAACAGGAATACAGGAAGTTCCATACAAACACAAGGAAGAATTTCTTTGTTGTCAGAGTGATGAGTGCTGGAACACGCCGCCCAGAGAGGCTGTGGAGTCCTCTACTCTGTAGATATTCAAGACCTACCTGGATGCTTTCCTGTGTAACCTGTTGTAGGGAACTACTTTAGCAAAGGAGGTTGGACATGATGATTTCGAGAGGTCTCTTCCAACTCCTACAGTTCTGTGATTCCATGATTCTTTGATTATGGACATACAAACCATATGTAGCAAACGATGGCTTGCTACGAAAAAGTATCTTAAAACAAGGGACATCTGTGGTGAGTCTCATGTATCTTTATCTTAAAAGTATGTCACAGACTAAGCAGTGCTACTCCCAGTGCCTGCTATGTTATTAATGTTGCTCTAATTAGGCCAATCAGTTTTAATTAGTATACTGTCATGTAACAATCTCATAAAATACTTTGTGTAAGAAAATTGATCTGGCTCTAATGCTAATTAGTTTGCTAGACTCCCTACCCCATAAATGGGAATTGATTGCTTCCCTTCAACCCCTTCTTCCTTTTTCAGCAATTCTCCCATAAACTCTGTAATTCTCTTCCTGTTTCTTTCATGTATTTTCTTTTTAGTGTCCCTGTGTCTCTCTCAATTATTCTTCCCATTATTCCATCTCTAGTGCAACCTGAAAAGAACAGGGTTTTATCACTTGTCAGAGTGAGCTTTCCTCAGTTAATTTTTCCCTCTCAGGAATTTGCTAGATCAGAGACCATAAGCCTATGTGCTGTCTCAGAGTGAGAGCTGACAGGGTTAGGCCCAGGTCAGCCTGTGTGTAAATCAAAGCTAGTGATGAGCTAAGACTGTGGATGGAATTGCAGATTTATCAAGACAGTAACATTAACATTACAAAAGAAGTACTTCATTGTCTTTCACTTGAGATTTATTTACTAGTAGTAATTTGCACAAGGGTGAAATCATAAGGTTAATAAGCGGATGAGCAAACAACAGTAAAATCAAATACTCTTTGCTACTCTTTAAAACTAGGATTAATTTTGTTAATTGTGAATAATATTGCCTAAAAGTCTAAAAATTCTGGTTCTGTAAAGTTAAAGATCAGTAAAGTTCAGTTATCTGTCTGGCCTTTAATATAATCCAAATTAGCAGTCAAAATCTTGCCCAGTTTTGTGTTCTGTTTTCCAATAACTGTAGAAATCACCTTTTTGGATGTTTATAGGTGGAGGAAAAAAGGAACAATGAAATGAAAGTATATAAAAAAAAATAATAAACATTTTCCTTTAAATTATTTTGATATGTTGGTTAAAACTGGCTTAGAATTACATTCCAAAGTATACCAGAGTGTGATTGGTATTAATGGGTCTAGTAACAACGTGAACAATCTGATGTGCTGTACTGGTGTTTCAAAGGCATATTTGTGCCTGAGTATCTCCAGGCTCCTCTTTTGATATCAAGTGGCTCCACTGCAAGACTGGTATTTCAGATTTAATGTTGAAGTCTGAAAATTAAACACCATGTAACACACACATGGGGCCGGAAAGGATATCTCTTTGGAGTCCAGGGCAGCACATGAAGATCTTAGTTGCTTTTGCTGAAGGGGTGATTTTCTTGCTGTTACTGCCTGCAAAGGCAGTTGTTTAAACATGGCTAGGTGGTTGTATGACATTTGTGTGAAGATAAGTTTGTTTCAGAAGGATCTTTTTGGTGCATTAGACACATGCACATATGAGCCATGCCTTTCGCTGTCCATGTGTTTCTGCTTTTGCAGTACAGACTGTGAGAATGAAGCAGGAGAAGAGTGTCTGATTATTGAGTGATCAGTCATTGTCCGTTTTTGCTTACAGTGACATTTGTCATGTCCAAAGGTGAAGTTTTCCATTTACTTCTTAATGAAATAAAAATCTAACGATGATATAAGTTGATGAATGTGTGTGTGTCAGAGAAATACACTGAGAGGCATTATGTATAATGTCAGATTAAATTAGTAAATTGCAGAAAAATATAGGAAACACACTTTCTTGGTCTTCAACTAATTTTTTATTCATTAGAAGCTTTTATATATATATATTCTAGCTTGTAGCTACTTACTTAGAAATATTGAGGATTCATGTAGCTCTTTGACAATAGTACAGTCATTCTGGGTTTTTTTGAGTCCATGTATGTGCCTTTTTTGAGTCCATGAATGTGCCTGTCATCACTTAGATTCATGAAAGATTTGTAGTCATTTTGAGAGGAGGAGATCCTAATTCACTTTTCCTCCTCACTATATGGTTTCTTTAGGCTCTTTGCTTTACTGTACTAGCAGAATATTGCAAATGATATCAGAGATAGTTTTTAAGGTGTGTGTTCACTGATAACTGAAAATAAAGGAGTTATTTGAATGTGATTGAAGTAAATTCCTGTAATCCGTAACAACAGACTTGGCCATAGCAGTGTCTCCCTAATAATTGTTCTTCCATTAGCATCACATTTATTTTCAAGGTCCAGCAAAAAGTGTTGAAGAAAAACCCTTTTCATGAAGTGTCTAAGTTGTTACGAAGCGGATTTGATTATATCAAGAACTTGTTTTCCCCTTGTATGGGAACTGCTGAGTCACAGCCTGAACCTCTGATTGATCACCTGAGGAGAGCCATGAGTCAGCCAGAGGAGCACAGGTGAAGGCAATTCTCCTGTGCTGCTGGAAGGGGTGGAGCCTGGCTGCACCTCTTCTAGACCCATTTAACAGCTGACTACCAGGGGGAAAGAATCTCTTTTGGAGATCCCTCCTTTGGAGTTTTACAGTGAGCCTAGGACGAGGGTAAGCACTCTATCTATTTTCTTTTTAGTATAATAGCCTGCTTAGCCAAAACTCTCTTGTTTATTTCATAATTATGACATCTGTATATTCATTTATTATACACCCCTTCATCAGGATTCCTGCAGGATCTGTAGGCTGGTTATCAATTCTCACCATATTTCCCCTCTAGATATTCAAGTATCTTTAAGATCTATGCTGAATATACTGTTCTTGTTAGCTTCTAAATTATGAGATGATACTAATGACAGGAAATATCATGTCTCTGGTCTTAAAAGAGCAGAAACATACTGAGAAGCTCCTTATTCCTTGCTGAGTGTAATGAAAGTTTCCCATGCTCCGTTTATCCAGCAGAAGTTTGACCTGCTGAAAGACACAGACACATAAAGAAAACCTGTTAGCAGTTTCTGACAGCTAATTTTAACCCAGACTCTATTTTGACATGAGTTAAACCTTGGCGTCTTAAAAATACATATTTTTATACCTTTGAAAAATTGTTTTCATTTAAGTCACCTCTGCTTGTTGTAGACCTTAGACCATCACATCACAGATGTACAGATGACAGTAGTCTCTCAGCCAGGTGCCAGTCAAGATGATAGCATGTCACTTCTCTGCAGTTTCCTCTGCTTTGACTGCTGACTGCTTCCCCTCCCAAATCCTGCTGCAGCGGGTGCTGCCTCGTACTCCCCACCACCACTGTGTTTCATCCCAGAGATAGTTCAGTGGTGGGATGTACTACCAAGAAATGTCAGACTTTGCCAACTATTGCTAAATGTAACTCTCAGCGGTGTGGGAAAAAAAAGTGTTGAACTTGAATACCACATGCATGGTAACTGTCAGCAAGTTTTGATTTTGACTACATGATATCATTAAAAATATTTTCTGTTCTGTGCAGTACGAGGCTTGATGAAATATTTGCTCAAAGAGTTTAAGCTTCCTCAAATGAAAGGAGATGTATTATGAATAATAACAGTATAATTTGGTTACATGAACCTCTGAAATTTTCCAGTGGTCAGGAGTTAAAAATGGACTTTGAAAGTATTTTCCTCAGGGCCTGCACTGAGATCATAGGCATCACCAGAGCATGCCTGGGCTGCGTAGAAACTGTGATAAGTACGTGGTCTCTGTAGCTGGCATGTCATTCCTTATTTGGGTTTACCCAGGCTGACCTTTGGCATCTTCTGAATAATGATCTGGAAACCTGCTTACAGGTTATAGGTTATATCCCCTCTTGTCAAGGGGAAAGGATATCATTCTTTTCTTGGCCCTGTACTCATGCTATCTTTTTTTATACTCTCTTCTTTAGATCATCCTCTAATTTTTGTAGTGAAACTGTTTCCACAGATGCACCCATGAGGCCCATGTAGTGTAGGAGCAAAGCAATAGATTAGTGTAATTTTTCATGCTAATTAAAAAGAGCAAAAAGAGCAAAGGTGGAAAGTACTAAAAAAAAAAAAAAAAAAAAAAATATATATATATATATATATACACACACATAAAATATCTGTATATACTAACCCTTTTCTTTTTAAGGAAAGAAAACTAGAGCAGAGGAAAAATTCTTTTTTTAAATAGTAAAATATTGTGCTATCCTGAATTTTATGGTGCTCAGAGCTTGTGAGGTGTTTGTTACTGCTTAAATATTTTAAGCTGCAGAATAGTTCAATTTTTTTCACAAATATTTGAAAATGTCTTATGGCAAAACATACTGGGTTCTCAGCTTGAGTGTTGTACACTTCTGTTGTGGTGTTCTGCTTTTTTTTTTTTTTTTTCCCCAAAATACCTAGTTCACTTATGACCCTTTTAAATAAGGAATGAGTAAATGATGAAGTGAAATGGAGAGCATATTGATCCAGAGCATTTTTGCCCCAGAAGCCTCAGAATAATGAGGAGGGGAAAAAATAAATGGAAGGAGTGAGAGAACCACGACTCAGGCTAATGCTCAGCAGTGTTGATGCTGTGACAAAGATATGCTGACTGACTCTTTGAATGCAGATGTTAGGCTGAGGAGGATACTAAATTCTGTTAGTTTGAAAATAACTTGTGAGTATCATGTGCCTGAAGCCCTTTTTAGCTCCAGATTGACTGCTGACAGTATTTTCTATATATACCCTCAATATCTCTCTAATCTCTATATCTGATGAATATAAGAAAAATTTTATTGCTAGCCAGTAAAAAAATGCTGTATCTCCTGACTGCAATGTCAATAAGGGGTTATATTTAGAGTTATGATACAGCTGTGAACTGTGACTCTATTGAAATGTAAAAAAAAAAAACTTTTACAGATTTGCAAACAAAAGAACAGCTGAGTGAAAATTAATTTGCTGACTATTATGGTGTCTGGTCTGGTCATTCTTGATGTCATAGCTCTACAATTTGGGAGATATTTATAAGCTTTGAGTTCAAACAGTGAAAAAGAGCAGACCAATCCCATATCTGAGTATCCATGGGTCTTGGAATACATAAGTGCTGGGGGAGAAGGGGCAGAGGGTCCTCTGTGTAGTAGGATTAACACTGCCTGAGATCCATCCGCTATCTGTGCTCAGATTGTGCCTTGGAATGGGATGCAAATGCCAATGTTATAGAAAGAAACAGTGGGAGACAAAGGAGAACAGTCCTAAAAACAGCATCTGAACAAATGGGTATAATGTAACTACTTCATTTAGGAGAGAAATATGCTTTTGTTTCTCCAACTGCAGGAGGGAGCGAGTTCCTCAAAAATGGAGGAGAATGGCTTATAAAAGAAAGGGGTAAATGGGATGCAGTTGCTGCTTTGGAAAGTGCAAAATGATTGTATTGTTACATCAGTAGGGAGACCAGGGAGCAAACTCATTGCTCTGCTTTGTTGCTGATTTTATTTCATCCTTTCTTCAATAAGAACAAATTGCTGTTAGGAGCAATATCAGTATTTGCTCTAGCTGGTATATAAAACGTCTCTACTTTTCTCAGTTTTTATTCCAGTTCAGCTGGTTTAGTGGTACTGATAAAAGGCCTTGATGAAAGGAAATAGGAAACTGTGGGGACAGGCTGAGACCATGTCTAGCTGGGAATTGACCTCCAGGCTCCAGGGCAGTTGTTCAGTGCAAGTGGTATTTCCCATGTGAAATCACCCGCTGTGGAGCAAGGATCTAAGAGACATGTTCTGTAGCATCCAGTTTATTCCTTCATCTCTTTACTTGGTTTCACAGAGAAGGAGAAATTTGTGTTTAGTGAGTATAGGTACTGACTTAAGAAGAGGGAGAATCTTAGGTTGTAATTCTGTGCTGCAGCAATTTTTTTTCTGTAGTTTTGGTATTTTTTCCCTCCCTTAGCTGCATATTCTGGTCTCTAGGATGCAGCATGCTCTCTGTCAGTCAGATTAGCTTCCTGTGGGCTGTTGATTTTAAAAAAAAAAAAAAAAAAAAAAAAAAAAGTCCTGCATAAGAATTGTTTTTTCAGCCTGGGTCATTTAATTAATCTGATTTAAAACAGGTTGTAGCAGAACAACTCAAGGAGTAATTCAGTGCTGAATAGGTCCCAGAATGAGTAGCAAGTACAAATTAGTCTTAATTAGTCTTAAGCCTAAATTAGCCTTAGTCTTACTAACGTAGTTCCTGTATCATGAAACTTCAGTCAAGGGTCACGTTTCTGATCAGCCAAGAAAGGTTGGTATAAAAATTAGGGTTAGTGTAGGTGATTGCATTGCTTCATAAAGACACAAAACTGCTTGAAGAAGTACTTTGGAAATGATCATTGTCACGAAGTGACACTACCAAGATGCTCCAGGTTGCTTGAGTCACATGCAGTTTAACTTGAGCAGACCCAACTGACAGATACTCTTGATAGAAAACTGGCAGTGAAGAGCTTTCTTTTTCTTTTTTTCTCTGCAGTATGTGGTGCCATTAAATCAGAGTTTTATGATAGTGACAGAGGAACATGAGGAACAGGTCACTGGTAGTTTCTGTGGCTTTACCATGAGTTCAACTAAGATGACTCCACTGAGTCCTGCAAGAGCAATGTCCTCCATAAACACTGTGCTTATGCAATGTAAGGAAAGACAGCAGTTTCCCAGGAGTGGCTCATTGCATCTCTGCCGAACAACTTTCTCTTACTATATTCTAAATTCTCTCTTTGTCCCTAATGAGACAAAGAAAGTGAATGGGGTAGCATTTTTTTCTCTATGCCTGCATAATTTACTCTCATTCAGAATGCTCTTTTTGTATTCCTATCCTCTTCATTGTTGCCATTCTGGATTTGTTCAATTCAGTCTTTTATTTAATCAGGTACACTCATCCTTAGAGATTTTTATTTTTATACCAAGATAGCCTCACTCACATTGTAATCAAACCTGCACTGAATTTGTCATTTGTAGAATGTTAAAAGCAAAGATGACTGTGATCTCTCTCTCTCTCTCTGTATACTAACATTTTAGTAGAAATTCAAGTTTCAATATTGCCTTTAGTTAGGACATGGAAGCATAACATAGCTGAACTCTTATGTGTTTGTAGTTTACAATAGGGAAAAAAATAACGAAAGTTCCATGTATATTGTGCAACTCTCTCCCAGTAAACCTCATGCAAATAAATTATAATGTTTCTATGCTGGCCTTCTGACTGCCATTTGCCCAGAAAATGATAAATACCCAGAATACTGGCAATAAAATGTCAAAGTTATGAAGGACATTGCTATTACAAAAACACGCATTTGGAAGAGTAGAATAAATTATCTCCTCGTGGTAATAAGTGGAAAAAGAGGCTGCATCTATTAGTATGTTAAAGTAACATCTTAATATCACGAGAAAATCTGTTTTTTTGTTTTCTTTTTTTGCCTTCTAGTAAGACAGAACATTAAAAGCAATTCTGTTTTCAGAGGGGGAAATTATTATCAGTCTTCTACCATTTTCACTTAGTGCTAGAATGTGAGATGTGTACAAAATCACATTCATGAATGGATATACATGCATATGGCATACATATGTAGAGAGAGAAAAAAAGAGAGCCTGGTCTAGGACTGATGTAACTCAG